AATTAACCATTCTTTATTGCTTGTGTATCTATTCCATGCAGTTCTTAATGTGATGCCAACCAACACACTAATGTCAACCATGCAGACTCTTTGAACCTGACATCATAATGTAAAGAATAAACTTAATGTACAGTCATAGAAGAAGCAATTTGAAACAACCAAGCAGCAACTAAGAAGTACCAGTGCCCTGTTCTGACAAGCTGAACTAGTTCAAAAATAATTAGTGGCAGATCAGAACAGATTATAGGTAGCAATACTGAATACGATCAGTTCAGTACTTGTGCAGTAGGCCATTTTCAAAATTCTAATATGCTTAGAGGCGTGCTGGGAGTCAGAATCCACATGCTCTGTGTGCTAGCCACTTCAAATGTGGTAAAATCTCAAACAACAAATCTGGGAAAAAAAATATTTTTGCAAGCATTGCATTAGTTTACTAAGTGATATAGAAGACGTATTTCTGAAGATTACAAGAGACCAGAGCACTTGAAATGTGGGCACCTACTCCAAATGTGCCTCTACACCTTCATGCTAATATTACCAGATAAGAACTTCAATTAATATAATTATATTCTTCCAATGGTTATTAATTTGCAGCAGATCCAGTGGCACTTTATTGAGCAGTTGCACAAGCTGCAAATGTCTGAAGGCCTTCGTGCTGCCAACAAACTCACACAAGCCCACATCGACTTCTGCCGACAGAAGATGAAGGCCGAGCTGGCTGCTCAAACCCTCAGCAGTTCCGTCGCCAAAGACCTTCTGTTTGCGAAACAGCTTGGGCTCCCAGAGTTTAGCAAATGTGAGGGAACATGCAAGTCCATCCAGGACATTGATAGGTAAGATCTGAAGCTCATTATTGGTGTTTATGCTATAGTGAGGCTGAATTTAATGTTCCATGTGTTAACTGCAGAAGACATTGGTTTTGCATGCTATCCAGGTGTTTTGACCTACTAAACTCACGGAGTCCTGTGGCCCGCACCTACCAGCGTCCCTTCAACCAGGCCAACATCCAGGAGAGGAGCCAGACGATGGAGCGAGTTGGCCAGAACCTCATGCAGCTGGAGCTACCCGGCGGCCAACCTGCAGTGACGGACGGCAGGCGCATGTCTGTCATTGTGTTTGCCTTCACCCTGAAGAGCGTGGCAAGCCTTGCAACTCAACTGCTCACCAGTGGTGAAGTCAGGTTAGTGCAAGTGTAGAACAGAACTGTACTCTATCACATTTATAGTCTGCTGTAGGTTAAGGAAAGTAGGAAAATTCCATTCCAGAAGCTCTGGAGTGGAAAATTCCAGAAACTCTGGAATGGAAAAAGAAAGTAAACTTGAGGAAGAAAACGAGAAAGGACGGACAAACACAAAATCGCGGAAGCTTCGCTCACCGCGATTTTCTCTTCTCCACTCACCTTCTCTTCCAAAATTATTGCGCTAAGGCGAAAAAAGTGGCAGGCTTTCCTGGAAAGGGCTTGTTCTGCTTTTCTTAACCTGCAACAGACTTTCGGTTTTGAGTGTTTGTAATTATTTTCCTCTCCCGTATCCCTTTTTCCACTTGGCGGCGGGCTAGCAGGCGCGCCTGCGTAAGGGTCTCAACTTTTCTCCTAGCCTTGCATGCTGCCGAGTGGGTATCGCAATCTGAGCAAATAAAGACTATTATTATTATTGACTACACGATTCTTGTTTCTAAACAAATTGTCTTCTCTCATGTCTTCCTTTTTTAGCTATCTGTGCTCCTACCGGCCAAGCCAGGACCACCTGGAGATGTTCTTCAGCTGTGTGCGGCAAAGGGGCGGCTGGAACAATAACCCATCAGCAGCCCAGTTCCGGCAGGCCTACAGGAAGCTGCTGGTACATGCTGGTGTGCAAGCCCCAAACTCCGCCAACGTGGCTACTGACCTCGAAGGGGAAAGCCTGACGGTCAGCCAGGGTACAATCAACCCTGCTCTTGATGCCAAGGACGACCAAGAGGGTGACGATATGGCCGTGGTGTATGGGTTGGGCGAGGATACCCTGTCAGAGTTCACCTCTGAAGTTGTGAAGTGAAGTCTTGGTGACCCCCCACACCAAGACGCTGAGCTGCCCATCCTGTGTGAGCATGCTCCTGGATGATAGCGTGACAGGAGTCCTCATTAGCATCAGGGACAATGGCGGGCTCGTGTACCCCTCCGAGCTGGTTTGCCTGCTCCTGCAGGAAACCGAAAAAATCTTCAGGATGGCCACTGAAGATGGAGCATCAAAATGAATGCAACTGTCCTGACTCTTTTAGCATAGAGGGCATTTTATGACAAACATGCAGAGAGTTTTAAGAACCAGGTGCATGTCAAAGATGAGCCAATGCACGCAGTTTCACTTTCAAAGGCAGTCATTAAGAAATATGTCGCACTGCGGTTGCGACACCTGGCCCGCACAATTACTGAAAGATCCCGTGGGGCATATGTGCGGCATACCTTGACCAAACGAGTCCTCTTTTGCCACCAGTAATGCGGCATCCTGAAATCATGCCTTCTTTTTTTCTTTCTTTTTTGTCAGCTTGTTTGCATTTTTCCCTTGCTTTGTTGTTTCATTCATTTAGTACTAGAACTTGTTGGTGGATGTAAATATATTAGTGAAACAACAATTTCTATGCAATATTGATGAGCTGTGTATCTCGCAAGTCTTATTTCTTTCACCGATCGTTATTTATGTTATATGTTTGAACATATCTAATATGCCTAAATACGCATATATGCTCAAATTTGTTTCTCCTGTTGTCTTTTTCCAGGGTGTTATTGTGCATTACTGTTTCTTCTTTGCGCCGAGTGCCATTAAACGTTATCACAAATCGCACACTGTGTTACGTCTAGGTACAAGTCATTGCACATGAAAATTCGTTCACGATTACAAAGAAAAAAACGGCATTTACTAGCCCATGTACGCCGTTTCTTCTCAAGTGTCGTGTACGCAGATCAAGGCAGTAAACCGCTCGCATCGAAGATTATGTCGCTTAATTAGCACGACGCCCAGGATTTCAAATAGAGATGCAAATGTGAGTCGCCAATGCTTTCGCTAATTGACCGACCTTCGTCGCCTCCGGCCGTGTTTGACTTCAAAGTTCCTCGGTTCCTCGGGACACGCTTCCAGGCTCGCAGTCCGGTCTTGGCTGTTTACTTCGTTTCTAACAACAATATCAATCCCACAGTTTGGTGACTCTTACATTCGACTATTATTTTTGTTTAGATGCGTCAATGCCTTTGAACAAACGCTGTGGGGTATAGGCATGGGCCTAAAATATAGTAAAGTTAAACATCCGTCACTGGTCAGAAAAATGCGCTAACTAAAGCAATTGCAATTTTGCAATGTTAATTAAGGTACATACTATTCGGTACGAACCAAATAAGAAAAGTGTTCTATGATATTTTCCGGCGAAGAGACAAAATGCACGCGCGTTTTCCCATAGGAATGCATAGGAACACCGCAAAAGTAGACTGGTTGCTGTCTGCTTCAATTTGCGTCACGGAAGTCGCATAGACACTAGCGCCAGTTGAACCTCTAGCGTACATTATAATAACTCTATGATTTAGACCTCACGACCACCGCTGGGGGCTGTTTCGAGGCCTGTGGTTTTTTCCCCCGAGACGCCCGCTTATTCAAACCAATGTATGGCCAAACTCTCCCAAAAAACAGCTCTGAACGCGTCGACTGTCGCAGGGATGCATTGAGTCGTAGGGTGCCATCAGGAAGGAAGATGTCGACCGTTTACGGCCTATTGAGGCCATTTGTGTTAGCGTTCGAGTGCACTCTGTATTTCTCCGCCCCGCAGGAGGAAAAGGCGCAGGTCAAGTTGTTTGCTATGCATGAACGCGTACCTTGCTATTACCATTTTTTTTGCATATGTGTTATTCGTTTTTTCTTTCTCCCAGTTCTCAACCTCTTTGCCGCAGTGATATGTCCTCACTCGTAAGTCGTCTGCTGACGAACCCGAGTTCTCGTCCAAATTGTTAATTCAACTTTCGTTGTTTTTTTTTTTTTTTTAGTTTTTCAACATGATTTTTTCACTTTGTTATATATATATATATATATATTGTGGAGACAAGAGAACGAACACCAGTTCTCCCGGTGTTCAAGCTCCGACTGCCCCGCCTGCCCGCTCGCCCCCCGATCGTCGGTCCTCTTTATTCTCGTCTTTTTCCGTTCCCCACACACTCCCCCCCATTCAGGGGAAAGGAGCGTTTGGTTTTGACGGTAGCGAGGGCAGCCTGCAGGAAGCGGTCGCCCTCCTTGAAGAGGAAGTGGTCGTCGATGAGCTGCTGCTGCGTCTTCTTGCCCATGCCAGCCAGTGGGTAATAGGTGGCCTACAGCTCGCCCTCCAGCATACGCAGAGTCGAGCTCACTTTCTCCTCTATCTCGCTGTATTGGGCCTCCGTGAGGCACGGGTTGAAAGGGTAGCCCTGCAACGAGCGTCCACAGCGCACGCCGGTGAAAATGACGAACTGGTCGTGGGGGGTCCACGTTGACCGAGGTGCTGAGGTCTCCGAAGTGCGTGAGCGGGTGCTTGTCGGTCGCCTTGAAGCCGCCGTGGTAGTCCTCGATCACCGGGTTGAACAGGCCGGCGAATAGCGTGTACGACTCGGCATCCGGGGCGCACAAGCCGACGTCGCTGTCAAGGTTCTCCACGCCGGAATGTATGATGTCGACCAAGGAGGCTCCCATGGCGGTTTTGCGAGTCTTGAGCTTTTCGAAGACGAACGGAGGACCGTGCGATGGTACTGGGACTCCGAACGGTATCTGACGTGCGGTCCAAAGGACTTTTGAAAGGGCGCGAATCAGAGAGCCTGGGGTGGCGCGACAGCTGGCGGGAAGGACGGTGGAAGCAGACTTCGGCTTTTGGCACTCTGAGCTTCGACTGCAAAGTGTTGACTCTCGACGCCTGCGCTGGAACGGGAGACGTTCACTGTGGTCCTGGTGTTTTATACCGCGTTCCGGGCCGTTGGCTTGCTGAATGAGGCAGGAGGGAGGGGGCAGGGAGGTAGATTAAAACTCGGCTATTATGACATCTTCGTGTGCGTGTGCTGCCTGGTTAGGCGCCCTAAGCTTCTCGGGGCACGATCTCGACACGACGATGAGCGCCGCCTCAACGTCCGCGGATGTTAACGGCCGAGTTGCTGCCGATGCGTTGTTCTCTTGTCGTTGGCGACGCTCGGTGTGGAGGGCCCCGTGTAGATGACTCGCCCACGCTATCATGGACACGCGGCACAGGGCACATAACCCGGCACGCTCTGCGTCGGTGTAGGTCGACGGTGTATCCCCTGCGCACCGCTCATTCAGGGTGCGTCTCTGGAATGGTGCTGGGACGTCGGCCGGCGCCAGTCCTTGTGGGACCTGTGGCTGTTGGTCCCAACGCAGGCGGGAAGCGAACCCCACGAGGCTGTGATGCTCCACGATGCACCACGTCGTAGCCTCATGGGTTCGGGGGCGTCGCCGTGGGTGCTGAGGAGACGGCCGATGTCCGAGACTGCGGCTCCCGGGGGAGCGCGACCGATGGTAAGACGACCGCCGCGGAAGTGGGTGGCGTGGCCGTGACCACGGTCGGTCTGGCGGCATGGCTGCAGGTAGTCGAGGTGAGGAAGAGGCACGATTAGACAAGATGGAGACGACGTTACTGAATTCTCAACACTCTTCGCCACGTTCAATAAAAGGTTTCAAGTCATTGATGTTAACAGGTCCGACGCGTGCGCCGGTTATGGGGCACCGTAATCGATATGCGAGGCGTGTAATTCGCGTCTCGACCACGAATGGCCCTTCCCATCGTTTGGCGAGTGAAGCGGAAAATCCTTGGCTGGCGTTACTGAGTGGGTGAGTGCGTCGGAGAACTAGATCTCCGACAGAAAATTCGACGTTTCTCCGGCTTCTATTATGTTGGGTTCGTTGTCGTGGTTGTGTTAGTTCGATATTCCCCCGGGCCATTGTCACTGTATTTCGGATATTATCGCAGAGTCGTTGCACAAACCTTGAGTGTGATTGGCGCGGGCGAGCATCTGGCGCAAGCTCTATAATGTTTTCCATGGGCACTCTTAGCTTCCGACCAAAATTCAATCGTGCCGGTGTTAATCCCGTGGTTCGGTTTTCTGGGGTATGGGTAGCAAAGGCCATTTCTGGGATACAAGAGTCCCAGTCGCGGTGTTCGTTAGTGTACAAAATTAGCATTGCCCGGAGGTTGTGATTTACTCTTTCAGTGATATTGGACTGGGGGTGATAAGGGGAAGTACAATTATGTTGGATACCGAGAATCTCACAGCAATTTTCAAATACAGTGCTGGTGTAGTAGGTGGCCTGGTCTGTTAAAAATACAACAGGATACCCAAACCGGGAAAATGTTTCTCAAAGTTTGTCCCATATCTTGGACGTAAGTTGACGCAGGGGATGAAGGTCGACCCACTTGGAGAAGTGGTCGGTGACCACAAGGAGGTACCTGTTGCCTTGTGGGCTGCATGGAACTGGGCCCATGAAATCACACGCAACAATTTCCCAAGGACGATGACTCTGAACCGACTGCATGAAACCCAGGGGCTTCCCGCCTCAGGGTTTTGCTGTTTGGCATTGAGGACAGCTGCGGGCATAACGCAAGACATCGCGGTTCATTCGAGGCCAGGTTGCAATGCGGCAAAGCTTTTGGTAAGTTTTTTCCATCACTGTGACCGGCCAGGACACTGTCATGAAAGTAACTTATAAAAGTGCGTCGTAATATTTTCGGCACGACTACGCGAAATGGCGACGTGGTAGGGTCACCCTGATCTGCTTGAGGTATGTATCGAAGTAAAAGTCCATCGTTACTCTGAACGTAGGTATCCGTGTGTGCATCAGTCATGTCCTGTCCCCTGGAACTGGGTTGATTTAACCGCGTAGATATCTGCTGGCACAGATCGTCTGCTCGCTGGGCTCTGAGCAGCTGTTCCCGGGTCACGACTACACCCAGGAAAGTTCCTCGTTAGTAACAGCGACCAACTCCGTCGCTTCTTCCTTTTCCTGGGTTGGAAGGGGGGCGCGAGACAAGGCGTCCGCCGCAATGTTGGATCTGCCAGGCCGGTACTCAATGGAGAAATTGTATTCCTGTAAGGTGAGAGCCCATCGAGCTACACGTCCTGCTGGGTTTTTAAGATTTTTGAGCCAGGTCAACGGTTGGTGGTCCGTCTGAATTGTAAAGGTGGCTCCGTCAAGGTACATATCGAACTTCTTTAGGGTAAATATTATTGCTAGGCACTCTTTTTCGGTGACGGTATAGTTACGCTCCGCTGCCGACAGTTTGTGGCTCGCAAATGCAACGGGTCGTAAGGCCCCATTATGTTCCTGCAGAAGCACTACTCCTAGTCCGTACTCGCTGGCGTCGGTTTGTAGCACAAATGTGGCATTGAGATTGGGAAGTCTGAGGGACGCTGTATCGGCAATGACCACTGCCAGCGTTCTAAATGCTTCGTGAGCAGCAGTCCAATTCCATGGGACATCCCGGCGCAGCAGCTCATGGAGAGGTCGGGCCGAATCGGCACAGTTCGATATTGCCGCGCGCTGACTTGCAGAAGCTTCTCGTTTATTCTTGCTGCGAACATAACTTCTATCGTTCATGCCTGCTTTTGTTGTTCTAGAAAGTGCGTGCTCATTCTCGCCCCAAGCGCGCTACGCTCGAACCTTGCCCGCCGAATCTTCGAGATAGTGACTCACTCTAGATAAGAGGCCGCCCGCGACCTTGTCGAGTCAGTCTCGCCGCAGCCTTCGACTCTGCTTCCACGCCGACTTCGACGCCCGCGACGCTCTATTATTATCTTTTGTTCTCTTTTATTTTTGGCACAAGTTCGCCACATTAAACGTTTATTTCTTCCTGTTTATTTGCTGTTTTTGGTCACCACCCGTGACATTTTGGTGGAGGTGCGGGGTACCGCATGTCCGTGCAGCGCAGCCCTCCAAGTTCCCGCAATACAAGTCCGAACCCAAGCTCCCGAGGACCCAACGAAGACCAGATCGAGACTCGATCAAGTCGCCGTACCCAAGAGCTACACCCGGAATACGGACTTTTACCACCCAGGACCAGGCAGCCGACGATGGCCAACCAGTCGCAGACCCCCGCCGCTCCTGGCGTCGTCTACCTACCCGTCGCTCCTCGGACACCGGCTCCATTCCACGGCGAGCAGTACGAAGACGTCGAAGACTGGATTGACCAGTATGAACGCGACGCCCGCCACAATTGCTGGACCGACGAGCAGCGCCTGCACAATGTCTATTTTTCGCTCGAGGGGACCGCGAAGCACTGGTACGAGAATCATGAGTCCTCCCTGACGTCGTGGGACATCTTCAAGACCGATCTCAAGGCTACCTTAATAAACCACCACCGCCGAGAGAGAGCCGAGGACCTACTACGAACCAGAACCCAGGGCCCCAACGAGAGTGTCACCGGCTTCGTAGAGGACGTCCTGCGCCTGAGCGCCCGCGCCGACCCTCGGGCTACAGATGAGAAGAAGCTACGATTCCTCATGCGGGGCGTGAGAGAAAGCATCTTTGGTGGTCTTGTCCGCAGCCCTCCGACAACTGTCGAAGATTTTGTCGCCGAGGCAACAAACATCGAGCGTGCCCTGCAAGCCCGAGCCAGCCACTACAACCGAATCCCCGACACGCCTGTTGCTTCGACGCTGGCATCTTCCCGAATCGACGAGGACGGCATCCGCGCTGACAACCTTCGTGAAATTGTCCGGGACATCGTCCGGGAAGAGCTCCGGAAAATTCTACCCGACACTGATCGCCCCGCCTCGATCTCCATCGCCGAGGTCGTGCGAGAAGAAGTGCAGCGTGCCATTCAACCGGAGTCTCCTGTCGATATCGCTGAACCAGAAGAACCGGTGGTAACCTACGCTTCAGTGGCGCGACGATCACCACCGGCTGCTCGTCAATACACGCCGCCACCTCGACGAGACGCCCCAAGGCCACACTGCCTCCGACGACAAGAAGAGCGGGTCCCATACGTCCGTCCAGAACAGCCCGCACCTAGAGAAACAGACGTGTGGAGGACGCCCGACCGACGCCCCCTGTGCTTCCACTGTGGGGAAGCAGACCACACCTACCGCCGATGCCCGTACCGACGACTTGGGTTGCGCGGGTTCCACCCGAACGACCCGCGGCCTCGTTATGGTGAACGCCCTCGGGAAATCGACGAGTACCTGCGACGACCTCAATCTCCTGAGCCTGCGTCTCGCCGAGAGTTCCGGTCGTCGTCGCCACGACGTCCAGCCTCGCCGATGCACCGACCCCGACGTGAAAGCCTGTCGCCCCTCGCTCCACGCTGGGGAAACTAGGCGCTGCAACCCCTGGAGGTGGAGTTGCCGAGGACGACCGACGTAAAGAGCCTCCAAGAACGACGGAGCGCTCCCACTCTCCCGACGCTACGCATCAGAACGACGCTCCGGCATCGGAGTCCAACAACCTAAACGTTGTCATCGACGGCCTCGACGTATCGGCACTCGTGGACACCGGAGCAGACTACTCAGTGTTCAGTGGGAGGCTCTCCCGCCGCCTTCGCAAAGTCATGACGCCATGGGATGGACCCCAAATAGGAACCGCAGGAGGACATCTCATCACGCCCGTCGGAAGGTGCACTGCTCGCGTCGAGATTCACGGCGAGACGTGTCCGGTAAAGTTCATCGTTCTGCAAGATTGTTCCAGAGATGTCATTCTTGGCATGGACTTTCTGTGTGAATACGGCGCCGTCATCGACCTGGGTGAGAACAGACTGACGCTGCGGAAGCCTGTTCCGCCTTCAGAGAAACCCCAAACAGGGTCAGCCGCCGTCCGAGTCGCCACCGACCACGTGAACCTGCCGCCGCGATCAAGTGTTGTCGTACCCGTCGTGGCCGATACAGCTACCTGCGGCGAAGTTGTCCTAGAAGGCAACCTTCAATTGCTCCTGGGAAGAGGAATAGGCGTCGCAAGAGGAGTAGCTGAACTTCAGGATGGGCGGACTGTGGTCCTCGTGACGAACTTCCGAAATGAAACGCAACACCTCACGAAAGGTGCAGCCGTGGGCCACGTCGAGGAACTTCGAAACGCCGCCGAAATCGCCACGATTACTGACGAAACCTCGCCACCTCAGCAAGACAGTCCGTCGCCAGCGCAGCTCGACATTGACCCTAAGCTTCCGAGCCCGAAACGACGGCAGCTAAGTGACCTCCTCGCCGAGTACAGTGACTGCTTTGCGACGTCGTCGAGGGTGCGCCAAACCGCCGTTGCGAAACACCGCATCGTTACCGAGGACGACGCGCGCCCTGTGCATCGATCGCCGTACAGAGTCTCCGTTAAAGAAAGGGAGGTGATCTAGGAGCAAGTGCAAGAGATGCTGAACGACGACATAATCCAACCTTCAAGCAGTCCGTGGGCCGCTCCAGTTGTACTGGTTAAGAAGAAGGACGGAACGCTTTGGTTCTGCGTGGACTACGGGCAGCTGAACGCAGTGACGAAGAAAGACGTCTATCCACTTCCCCGTATCGACGACACATTAGCCCGGCTGCGCCACTCCCGATACTTTTCATCCATGGACCTGAAGAGCGGCTACTGGCAGATCGAAG